GGAAGGATGGAAGGCTGAGTCGACCTTGAGCCGGTGAGCTTTGAACCGCTGAACTGCAGATAACAGTCAGCTAAAGTGGCCTGCAGTACTGCACCCTAACCACTGCTCCATCTCGGCTCTTCCTTTAACCCTCCTGGCTGCTCTTCCCTGATCCCTTTCTCTCCCCCCCCCCCTGCCCTGCTGCCAAGATCCTCTCCCCGTTGCCCTGGACCAGCCAGCTGAAGGAGGAGGTCCATGGCCTGGTCTTGGCCTACAGAGGGACCCCATCACCCCTTGCCCACCAGGGCGCGGAAGCCCCCCTCCCCATTTCCTCTCCCAGCTGCCCTTTACACTGTGGGCAGGCGTCCCCAGGGGGCCCTCTCCTGCCCTTGGGAGGACTTTCACCTTTGCCCCCCCCCCAGGACTGACTCGGTCTTCTGCGCCCGACCTGCCTTTTCCGGCCTCTGACCCTCCTTTGTCCTAAGAGCTGCCCAGACCCTCCCGCATGCCCGCCAGGCAGGGCCGAGCAGAGCTCCCCACTTCCTGGCCCTGGGTGCCCCCTCGCTGACCTCCCCAGTGCCCCCTTGCAGGCTGGGGAAGCAGGATTCGAAGCGGCTTCCTCCGCTAGGGACGCACAGAGAAGCCACCCAGGCGCCCTCCTCCTTACCAGCAGCATGTTCCTCTGGGCACCGTCATCCCAGCCCACGTCGGGAACAAAGGTGGCCTGGAAGGGAAGCCCACAGTGAGCCACGGCTTCTTGCCACCCACTCCGGCTCTACCTCTGCAGGAGGCGGCATCAAAACACGGGAGACGGAGAGTGGCAAAGCCGTTTTCGGGAGGGGCTCTCTCTCATGGGGGGGGGCACACCAATGCTGTCGACGGAAGAATGCTGCCCACGTCCCCCTCGGCCACTGGCCCGACCACGGCAGCCTTCGGGAGGGAGGTCACGGTCAGCTACAGCAGCCACAGAGGCCTTCTGTCCAGGAGGGGCCAGGATTCGATTCCAGACCTCGGGCGGGGGTCTTCTTCCTCATGGCACCCCTGCCCCACGGAAGGATCATCCAAGGGGAGCAGCTGCAACTCACCTGGTCTTGCCCAGCACTCAGAGCAGGCAGGCAGGCGGCCAGCAGTGGCCAGAGCAGCAGAGCCATCGGGAAGCGGAGGAGGGGGCTGCAGGAGGGGAGAGGCTGTGCTGACCTGGAGCTCTGCGGAGGGTCCTTCCCCCCCCTTCCCTTCAGGACCCCCGGGGTCAGCCCTGGCACCAAGGGGCACTGGCTGCAGCTAGCCTGGTTGGGGAAGGGCCTCCTTCTTTGGCCCTCTCTCCCGCTCTGCGGAGGAAGTGCCGCATTTCCTGGGGGGCAGGAAGCGCCCCCACCCCCACCCAGATCCGTCAGAAAACCCCAGGAAACGGAGTGGCTTCCAGGCTGCCCAAAAAAGGGCAACGGTTGTCCAGGCCAAGGATGGCAGAATTCTCGCCCCCCCCGCCTCAGTTCACCCCCTTGCTGCCCCTACTTCATCTCCTTCCTTGAGCAGCTTCTCCCCACAGCTCCACTGCTACCCTGCTCCGGCCCTGAAAGGGGGCAGAAAGCCCCAGGCCAAGCAGGAACCAGCAGCAACGCCTGCGCCACAGATTCTTTCCCCCTGGCAGAATAAATATTGACTCCCGGCCTCCAGTTAAATATTTGTTCAGAATCTCAAGTCCAGGGAGCAATGCGGCCCCCTCCCAGGTTGACCGGAGGGGGTGGGCGGAGACAGGCCTCTGTGCCCTACAGGAAGGGAGGGGGCCCAGACCCACCCCACCTGCTCTTGGCAGTTTAGCCCCCCCCCATGAGCTCCTCTGAACAAATGGGGAGAAAGCCCCCCTCTGCCCAACGGCCCCCACTCTAGGCAGCCACTGCGCCGCCCCTCCCCCTCCCGTGCTTTGTCAAGAGTGGACAGGGAGGTTTCGGGGGGTGGGTGGGTGGAGAAGGCAGGACCGGGCTCACTTGGGGGAGAAATGTCCCTTAAAAGCCAGCCACTCCAACCCCCAGGGGAGGGGAGGGCAGGAGCCCCACACAGCGTCCCCATGGGGCTCTCGTGTCCAGCACGTAACCAGGGGCTTCTCCTCCTTGGTGGGATTGGCCCACTTCCGTCTACAGGCAGTTCTTGACTTGGTCGTCGGGAACAGAATCGTTAAGTGAATCGTGGCCCCCTCTTTTACCACCTTTTTTGCCCTTAAGCGAATCACAGCAGCTGCTACAAAGGAATCGTCCGGTCATGAAACGGATCCAGGTTCCTCACTGACTCTGTCGCAAACCGAGTGACCGCCTGAGCCTCGGAGGCCGCAGAGCTGCTGGACCCACCGACTGCTGAAGTGACCGGACTCTGACCAGGAGACTGGGGGGGAAGGGGGGCTGCTGCTGTGGCGTCCCTCTTCTCAGACCCCTCGCAACGGCAGCCCCAGGGCTGGAATCGAGGCCAGGCTGACCTCCCCCGTGGCAGACCCACAGCGGGGCCCTTTCCACGGGGTCTCTGGAGAAAAGGCCTGTCGCACGTCCTCGAATCCGAGTCCCAGTCGGGGGAGGGAAGAGGCGCTACCGCACCCGCCTCTCCTTTGCTCTTTGGAGGGCGGGGGGGATGCCGCCTCAACTGAGATTGGGGGGGGGGGCTTCCCCGCCTCCTCAGCAAAATGTCATTGAGGATCTCAGCTTCTCAGGACGTTTATTTCTTGCAAATTGTTCAATCCACAGTGAGAACACCCCCCCCCCGTCTGCCCCACCATCCCAGTTCCAGGGGAGGGAGGGAAAGTGCTGGACTGAATCAGGGGGGAGAAAGCAGTGAAGGGAGAAGCACAGCCTGACAGTCCTGCCCCCCCCCCCCACAAAGGCTGTGGAATCCGCTGCTATTCCCTCCCTCCTCCTGCTAGCCCCCACGTTGGGGGGAAGGGCACACAGACACCCCCAGGCATCCGGGGAGATCTCTGCCGGTCCCCAGGGAGCATCAGGCACATAAGGTGAAGGGGGCGCTTGGCGTTTCTTGGGCTGCCCTGCAGCAGGACTATGGGGGGAGGGTCGCCCCCGACCTTCCGGTTCCCCCCCCCCCCTGGGCTTTTGGCCAGCCACAACTGTCCCCGTCCAGAAGCAGGGGCTAGGCCAGCAGCCGGACAGTGCCATTGTCCGAACCCAGCAGCAGCTGGCATTTGGTGGGAAGGAGAGCCAAGCTGGTGAGGGTCCCTCGGAAGTTCTCGGAGCTGAGCTTGGTGGTCCCGGGGGCCGAGGGACCCTGGAAAGCGTAGACACTGATCTTGTTGGCCACCGTGCCGGCCACCACCTCACTGCCGTAGAGGTCGAAGGTGTGGACGGGCTCCGAGGACGACTTGTACATCTGCAGGGGCTTCGGCTCCAGGTCTTTCCAGATGGTCAGCGAGTGGTCGGAGGAGGAGCTGACCAGCATGTTGCCCTCCGTGGCCTAACAGGGAGAGGAAATCAGCCTTGACCCAGCGCTGGTAGGTCCCAGGAGGGCTGCGACAGCCCTCGCCCACCCACCCCCCTTTGCCCCTTCCCAGAATGGAAGGGAGGTTGGGAGCCTGCTAGTGGGCAGTGTCCGCCCCCAACTGCCCAGGGCTGAGATGGGAGGGGGCTGCAGGCTCCTTGGGGCCCCTGCTATTCCGCCCAGGGGCTAAACCCCATCTGCTCAGCCCAGGGGAGGCTGCCAGCACCTTTGCCAAGTGATGCCAGGGAAAAGCTCCAGCGTGAAGGGCCACCAGCACTTCCAGGACTCCCAAAGGCTCTGCTTCCACCCAGGCCCACCACCAGGCCAGGCAGCCTCCTCATTCCCCAGGCAGCCTGGGAGCTGGGCAACCCCAGAATCAGGCAGGCTGATGGGTCTCCTGGAAGTGGCCCTTGGAGCTGTTGGGCACAGCGCAGGAGCAGGAACCAGGATGGGCCTGGAAGTCGCCCTGGGGCTGCTGCGGCCTTCGCCCAGCCGCTCACCTTGACCTGAAGGATGTCTCCCTCGTGGGCTGACCAAGCCTTCTGGATCAGGCCCGTCCGGGTGTCCAGAAGGACCATGAAGCCGGAGGAGAAGCCGGCTGCCACGCTGCGCCCGCTGGGACTGACAGCCAGGCAGCGGATGAGGCCGGCGTTGGGGCCACTGGCCAGCCGGAATTCCTGCTGTAGAGCCCAGAGTGCAGAGGCGTCAGGGGACGATGGGTCATCGCCTCCACGAAGATCACTTCCTCAGCTAGGAAAAGCAGAGCAAGACCCTTGCCCCCCCCCCTTGCCACTCCCCTCCCCCCCCCGCCATGGTCCCAGGCGCTACCTGCCAGCCTGGCTTCCGGTGGTCGATGAAGCGGAGC